CATGAAAATATCAGAAGTGTCAGACCCGGTATTTGAATCCGTTTCACATAGTTTTACAAGCAAGCACGTTAACACTGTGCAATTACTCCCTTGGTCTACTACTACCTTCTATATTGTATACTATTTACATTTTCATATCCTTGGCCCTAATATTAAAATATCATTTGCCCGCACGTGTATGCCATTTCCCATAGATTCCCTTCCCATCCAAGCCAAATAGTGTAGTAAAATAAAAACGACAATTTCTAGTTTAACAGGAAACAATAGCAACACAGAGCCAAACGCGTATGGCGATGCAAAATTGGTTTTGTCAACGCATGATAGTGTTGGAACAATTCCAACTTTACAATTTACATTTATGGTCTTACTTATATAACCGATTTTCGAGTAGTTCTGTGAATAATCGTCTGGCATTTAGCTTATTTTTCAATTTATGTATTCATGATAGCCCACAAAATTCGGGTCATGAGGTGACTGGTGTCCATTTTTACCAAGGATTCCTTTATTTAAGGGGAGTATCCCCTCCGATGTGTTTTCACCTTGTCGCGGGGGGGGAGTTCAGAGGGGCTTATTAGCATCTGGAAATTCAGCCAGACGCGAAGCCAAGAGCCACATCATCAGGGCGTCTTGATCTTGCAACGCCCCATTAAGACGGGGGAGGTTCTGTTGGGTTTTAGTGAGTAATACTATACTAAACTTTTCTAGCCAGGGAGTCCCACAAAACCACCCGTATTTATACAGGTGGTATGCGTAAACGCGTTTGCTAACATTAAATAAAAATCTATACTAATATAGTATTATGACATGCGTAGTTTCGCTCAACTGTGAAAAGTCAGTCTCTTATTAGGATTTTGAGGTATCTCATACTATACTTAGCTTGACATATATACGTTTTAGTGAAAAAAAACTTCATGGCCATCGTTTCTTACAACATAGAAAAAAGGATCTATAAAGATCAACTTGTGATTATATATTAATTCCCCATCATCCATTCAATGTTAGAGAAAATTTAACATTAATTTAACAAGAGACTCTTGTTAGTACATTGTTTGTGAGATTCCTACCTAAGCTTTGAATTGTATCGTCCGTTTCACAAAAGAATAATATGGCTTTATAAAAATTTTATGTGTCCTACAACACGACTTCAGTATAACATAGAGAATATGTAACAGATGTTTACTTTAGAATAGTTCGTGTGTATTCTATGATTTTTTTTATAATGGATAGATGATTTTTCTTCACATTAATTTCATAAACATGTCTGCCTCGTTAGTCTAGTGGCTAACTAACATACGATGCAAACCATTTGTCACCTCTCAAGATGATGAATTTCCAAAAATCTCTTTGTTTTTCATGGATAACTCTATATAAGGGACCTTGTAAGTTTCAAACTCGCAGGATCCTTACATATACTCTCTGAGATTTCGTGATTAATCAATGAGTGCTATACCTAGTGCTTTTATGTATACATATAATAAAATTGTAACTAAGTAGAATCTGTACATTAAATATTTTTTGGAAAATCTAATTGAAATAGACATTATTATCGATACAGAGCCGGAATATATAGTTTTTACAATTTTTGTCTGTCTGTCTCTCCGTCCGTCCGTCCGTCCGTCTGTCTGTCTGTCTGTTACCCATCACAGAAAAACTACTTAACGGATTTTGATGTAATTTGGTATGGTCATAGCTGATTAGCCGGGTCAACATATAGGATACTTTTTACCGCAGAAAAATATCTCATTTCTCAGAAAAAATAGAAAAACTGGTTAGAACAAGAAAACGATGATATTATATAGATTTTAGCAAGTTAACTTGCTAAATATGTCAAAAACTATTAAAAATAGATAATCTTGAAAAAGTATATCAATAGCTCTATTTTATTCATAAAAAAAATATTTTAATGAATATTTATTTTTGTATTATTTAGATATTTGTCAATAGATGTCGCCATGTGTCTATAAAATACGTAGTTTTAATTCCAAAAAATTGTACGTACTAATTCGACCTTTCTATGATTTTATTAGAATTACTACTAAATTACCCGCGGCCCCGCCCTTGTTTAAATTATCAAAAAACAATCTTTTTGGCTTTATAAATTAGTTACATCTATAGATACATTAAAATTTAATGAAGCAGTATCTCTGCTTTAAATATTTTTTGGAAAATTTTATTGAAATACACATTGTTATCGCTAACAGAGGCCGAACATATAGTTTTAAGAATTTTTGTCTCATAAAATCACAAAAAAATCACTGGAGGGAGTTTGAAGAAATTTGGTATGGTAATCAGGGTTATCAGGGTCAACTAATAATACTTATACGAGTATACTAATATATAAAACCTAAGAATTTGGTTTTGGTCATATGAACGCTGGCGGAGCCGCGGGCAATGCTAGTCCATATATAAATAAATAGGCAAAGACAAAACAGTTGCCTTTTTCTCGTCTATTTGTCTGTGATTCTCGTGGAATATGAGAATACCTAAGGATATGGTTAACTACATTAAAATAATTAATTTTATGACAAATTCGTAAAATAAATTAAGAGATAACAATGTCAGCCTCGCGAGAATAAATCGTGTAATTTATCAAAATCCCACACCGGGCAATATATCACTACGGTCACGTCGTGTGGCAATTCTTTAAATTACATTCATGATGTTATTCAGTATTATGCCTCGCCAAATCAAGGGAATGAATGGCTTTCTGTGTAATTTAATTTTATAACAGTATAAAGCTTATATTTCATATTTAATATATTAATATTACACACTTATGTACACATTCTTAACCAAATATTTTATTTGCAAACAAGCTTTATTTTCGTATTAATAAGAAAAACAAAAACAAATTATCCCACAGGAACCGAACATTTTTCCAGGATAAAAAGTAGGCTATGTGTTGTTCTAATGTGTGAGCTATATTATTGTAAAGTTTCATTAAAGTCCATTCAGTAGTTTTTGCGTGAAAGAGTAACAAACATTCAACAATATTAATAGAATGTTTATTTAAAATATGATTACAATACGATAGTAAGGCCTAATTTACGGTCTATTTGTACAAATCTCCGAAACAGCTTAGTGTTAAGCCTAGTGTTAAACTCCTTAGTGAATGAAAAAGGCGGATGATGAGCGGATGGAAGTATTTTAGGGTGGTAAGAACTAGTTTATAACAATATATCTTGTCAAAACTTTTTCCAATCCTAAAAATCAGGTCGATTCTTATCTAAAAGTTGGGTCAGCTATTGTTGTCGGATAGTTAAATGGAACACAATTTCAAACTTTGCCCCACTGTCATAATTATCAAATAATAAGTATGATTCACGATCGCGCAACACTATCAATTTAATACGAATGGAATCGACTATTAATCTGCTATCTGTTGATAGTATGTTTTTATTAATTCGGCAGTTTTTTTAATTACTTTTTTGGATACAGCCTTTTTTAAGGCTATTGTGTACAGATTATATTACTGCTTTATTATATGTAGTATAAAAAAACGCGCCAAAAACACTATCTCATAAGTGGCGTGGAAACTGGAAACGTATGTATATTATGGAGAATACAACTTTAGTACACTTTGGAATCGCTTTTTCTCAGTAATGGTGAATTTTAAGAAAAAAGTGTAAGAACAACTTTTGTACATAATTACATGATCCACAACTTTTGTCTGAAGTATTTTTATCATAGAACAAACCACTTCGCAAAAAAAAAAACAAAAGGACCATTTTCACGAACTTCGACCTTATATAAAAAAATTTGCACACATGGGATCGATGGGGACTTTTCACAATTTCATAATAATGGTATCCCTAATTGGGCATTTATGCAAGGTTGAAAGTCTATTTTGACCGGACTATAATGGTGAATTGCTTCGTAGAAGAATACATGTACGTTTTTATGGTTTCGTACCTCAAAAGTTAAAAAAGGAACCCTTATAAGATCATTCTCTTGTCCGTCTGTCCATCTGTCTGTCTGTCTGTCTGTCCGTGTGTCACCACCGATTTTCTCAGGAACGGGTGGACCTAGCAAGTTGAAATCTATACCAGATACTGAAGTCTATACTATAGTCCCTATAAGGTATATAAAAAAAAGGTACTGAGTCTACACGATAAAAAGATATGGGCAAATTTAGATTTTCGCGAAACTTGTAGATACCAAAATTTACCTTAATTTTCACTATTTTTATATTTCGGAATTTTCCCTTTACTTGTATACCCTATAGGTTTTGGGTCAAAAGCCTATATGGTAGTTCCCGTTGACCTAGAATCACGAAATTTGGCAAGAAGCAAGGTCTTACAGCTCAAATAAAGGAAAAATTCCAAAAAATATAAAAGTTGTAAATTAAAGTTAAACAGATTTGCTACATATTTGTACGGAACCCTCGGTGGGCGAGTCCGACTCACGCTTGTCCATATTTATTTATAAATGAATTAACTGGTTTATTTTGGTATCAAAACCTAAGTCTAACATTTCTCTAAGAATAACCGTTAACCATTATCATTCTCGTTTACTAAACCGTTCGTTTTTATTAACCGGTTAATAAGCGAGCGATGAATTAACCATTACATTACCGAAAGTAACCTTTTTCTTTTAACCGGTTCCGAGCTCTGTCTTAATTAGAAAGATCATTAAATAGTTTCCATTACATTGTATGTAATAAACATAAAACTTTGAAGCAAAATCAAGCAGAGGCATATACTTACTAATATGAGTAAATTTGTCTTTCTATTTATAAAAGCTAACAAACCTTTAAAGTTTTCAGGCTAAATAGATTTTAGTGAAATTTGGCAAAGGCATAAATTACAACATGAAAACGGATATAGGCTACTTTTCATACCAAAAGTGCAAGCGGAACTGCGTACAAAAACTACTGTTTAATATGTAAAATAACAATTTTATAACATTGAATACAATATAAAAGCTTTTAAGTTTACCATTTCCAGTTAAAATAGAAATAATAGAACCATATTTCCACGTAATACATACTCGTATTGCTAATGATTAATTTCCTTTGTTCGCAGGCAGTGTCAGACTCTATGTTAGTCGAGTTGAAAGCATGTTTCATGGAGGCGTATGACGACAATCAGGACGGCAAAATTGATATACGAGAGGTAATAAATAATATGTGAAATACGAGCATGATTTGCTTTTAATTTAATGTCTCGAATTCAAATTCAAATAATTTTATTCAGCACTCCTTCTATTAAAGCCTCAAAGATAAATGAATTGTCGCCCAAAGTCTTAAAGGAAGATTTTTTAAAACAAATCGTTATGAATCTTTTGCTCGATATATTTGAAAAAGATAATTATAATTGCGTCAATCTAATATGATTTAATATGCTTTATCTATAGGTACATATAATAAAATTCTGAGTCGAATCTGTACATTTTTGATATTTTTTGGAAAATTTTATTGAAATAGTCATTATTATCGATACAGAGGCCGATTCTATAGTTTATAGAATTTTGTCTGTGTGTCTGTTTGGGAACGCAACACGAGAAAACTATTGGACAGATTTTGATGAAATTTGGTATTTTGATAGGTGAGTCCACCTATAATAGGATACTTTTTACTGCGGGAAAATATCTCATCTCTGAGAAATCTATACTAATCGACATCGACTTTTAAAGCCGGTTTTACAGCGTACCTAGAGACGAACCCGAGCAGAGCGAGGGCGAGATGCTAGTTTAATATAAGTCATTGTAGGTTACCTATTCAAAAAAATGTATTAAATTTTAAGCCAAAATGTTTGTTTGCATTAAAGTAACCTGTAAACAGTGAGTACGATAAACAAAGCGAAAAAAGATCATTTTTGGGCTCTATTTTTGAGCGCTGAAAGACTCAAGAGTAATTGCAGGCATGAGATATCTGCAGCTGTTTTAATATTCTGTCTCGGCTTATTTTTTATTTAACATATCTTTTCAAAGTTATGCTTTTTGTTACCTTCTCATATGACCTCTGATTTAAAACTTTGTTAGGTGACCTAAGGACTTCTGACAATATTTAATGAAGTTTCTATTTGTAATAATAATAATTCATTTTTTAACGTCCCACTGGTGTGAACGGGCCTCCCGTATACCTCCCATATATATGTATACGAAGGGGCTCAGGCCATAGTCCACCACGCTGGCCAAGTGCGGGTTGGCCGACTGCACATGGATTTCGAAAGCTAGTTAGGTTCTTTCTTACATGCAGGTTTCCTCACGATGCTTTTCTTCAACGTAAGGCAAGTTATCATCATATTACAAGTGATTCGCAAAAAAATTTGCATAAGTACGAGATCCGGGATTTGAATTCATTTCACTTAGTTTTATAAGCGAACGAGCACTTTATTATTACTTAAAAGCAGAAATTATAAATAACATATTACGCTTTTAATAAAATATTTTAAATTAATTTAACTAATTGTTCACTACAATTACAATTAATTTAACACATTGTTGTCCACATCATTTTCTCATGTATTTTTTTTATTACTTGTTTAGTACAATAAAGAATATATATATTGTTTCTTTGCAGCTTGCCCAACTTTTGCCTATGGAGGAAAATTTTCTGCTTCTGTTCAGGTTCGACAACCCTTTGGAGTCCAGCGTGGAGTTCATGAAAGTAAGCACTATACATATATATATATATATATATATATATATATATATATATATACTAAAAATAAATAATTTTTAATTAAAAACAGTATATGCACAACTTTCGAGAGCCTACATTTTTCTAGAAAATTAATGTGTGACCGTCAAGTGTATTCTTTAAAATAATTATTGATACATGAAAATCAGCACAAAAATTTTACACGTAAATTAAGCTAGAAATAATCCCAAATTTTCAATAAAAAAGGAGTACAGTAAATAAAATATTAAATAATAATATCATGATATAAAACTAAAGATTTTGCTTTTCATTTACGCTTATCTCTAGAACTACTAGTTCGAATTGGTAAATTCTTTTATTTTATAGCCATTTTATAGAGGAAGAAAGGACACTAAGACTAAATAAATAAGCTACACGCCGCGGCGAGAAACTAGTTACTATTCTTATACATATAAATATAGCGTGCAATTGCACGCTGAATCTTGTAGAAAATAATTTTCTTAGCTTAACTTGACAAGATTCACAAATTTTCATATAAAATATATTAGATATTTTACATGAAAATTTGTGTACCTTGTTAAAACTTTTAATATGCAGTTTCATTATTCTAGCAGGAATTTTAATATAATATTGTGAGCTAAAGAACTAGCTTTATACTAAAATTGCTTTAAATGGTGCCTGCATTCTAAAATAGAGATAGGGTATTGTCAACGCCACATTTCCTATTGTCGACCCTATTGCCTTAGCACTACATTTAGTCGCTTTCTTATGTTTATTACATCGTGCCATACACTCAACCAATCAAACTACTCAAGTGTAACTTCGTCACTCACTACGTCAATCATACATGATCTAACAAAACCCTCATTCTACTTCTTTGATCTTTCACACGACACCTGCACTACACAAATAAAAAAGCATTGTTTCAATTCAATTCTGTTAATACAAACCATAAAAACAAAAAGATATCCAAATCTTTCTTTTGTTCATCGCGAACAGGTATTTTTATAATAAACTGCCCTCACTTGGCTTAACTCCTATGGACACTGTTCTAATTCTTCCCTAATATATCCCTCGGGAAATATGTACTAGAATAACAAACACATAATCCTCCTTTGCTTCGCTGCACTCGGGTAAAAAGTGTCAGTTTCCGGTTCGTGATATACTTTTATAAAAAACACATCGATCTATCAATCTGTTCCTGCGTGAAAGAAGGACTAAAATACAAACACGGTTTCACATATATATTAATAACTAGCGACTCACCCTCGCTTCGCTCGGGTTCTACCCTAGCTTGACTCTCAATACAAACTTTCATCCCCATTTCAACCCCCTTAAGGGATGATTTCCGGGATAAAAATATGTCTTATGTCCTTCCCAGGATCTCAAACTATCTTCTTACCAAATTTCATCTAAATCGGTTCAGTAGATCCAGAGATTACCCCCTACAACGACACAAACTCACAATTCACAAACTCACAGACTTTACCTCTTTATAATATTAGTATAAATATGGAATATTTTATTTCATAAAATAATAGAAATTTTATGAATATTTTTTCGCCCGAGGTATACTAAATATATAGATACTTAATGGTTAATAATGATTTTTGAAATTAATATGTATTACTATAGTAAACATTACAGGCCACATTTACCAACGACTTGATATGTGTAATCGAACTACTATTATTAATGCATAAGTTTGTATATGTGTATGGTTGTCCTTCACGCTGAAACGACAGAACAGATTTGCATGAAATTTAGTACACAGAGTCTATGACCTAGAGCTACTGTAACGCAGCAAACAAAACGTGGGTACCTGAGTGGCTAATTTGAAGATTGATAATATTATTATTATTATTTTTTAGATTTACGCGAATATTTAACATTTTAAAAACAAATTTGTTGCAGATCTGGAGGGAATACGATATAGATGGCAGTGGATACATCGAAGCTGATGAACTTAAGGTGTTATATACTTACCAACACATATATTTTTTTTTGCTATTTTATGTTGCTAATGAAAATTCTGTTCATGGCAGAGCTTCGTTCGTGTGCTCTAGCGTGACTAATCTATCCTATCTTCGCCGTAAACGTGCGTTTGCAGATGTTGCACTTTGGGATACCGTTTACATAATGGTAACTTATTTGGGAGGACGGTTTATGTTTCAACTCGTCGCGTTTACGGTCATGATCGCGCCTCCTGTAATTTTCAAAAGCCCAGACCTTCTACTGAACTACTCCTCTACATTCATGGCGTCTTTTTGCTAACGCTTCCCAGCCCCGAAGGCTGTTTTATACATTATTCATAGTTACACGTTAGTAGTATTATAGCATAGATATTCCGTTTCGGAGGAGTGCGACCACAAACACCGTGACACGAGATATTTATATATTATATTATGCATATATCAAATCTCTTATTTTTTTTATAATGGCTTATAGTTGCGTATCCCTTAATATTATTACCCATTTTTGTCAGTCTGTTGTCCGATTTCACTAACATCCCATAAGCCACCATATACCACCTACGTATGGGATTCCTTGCTTAAATGTTCCCCTAGACTAGCCCCTAAATTGAATTTCGTTTTACCATCGTCAAAGCACCTATATTTAGGTGGCATTTTAACATTTAGGTGACCCCTAACTGTCGGTGAAATAGAAACTGTCCCTTAACAGCCCCCTAACTATGCTTAGGGGATCCCTTAAACTTAGGCGACGTTGGTGAAATCGGCCATGTGTAAGGTATATATAAACTAATGACTCAGCCAAACCTTAGTAGATGATAGAGAATTAATTGAGGCAAAATTGACATAGATTTCTGTAATATTGCATGTATTGTAACAGCACTTCATTACAATTCTAATTCTAATTACGCAACTACTTCCAGAATTTTCTCCGCGATCTATTAAAGGAGGCGAAGAAGATAAACGACGTGTCTGAAGACAAACTAATAGAGTACACAGATACAATGGTAACCTTTTAAGACGAGAGATCGTTAATATACCGTTATACATCTATACATATAATAAAATTGTAACTAAGCCGAATCTGTACATTAAATAATTTTTGGAAAATCTCATTTAAATAAACATTATTATAGATACAGAGACCGAATCTATATTTTTTAGAATTTTTGTCTGTCTGTCTGTTACCGCATCACAGAAAAACCACTGGAGGGATTTTGATGAAATTTGGTATGGTGATAGCTGGTTATTCGGGTCAACATATAGGATACTTTTACCGCGGGAAAATATCTCATTTCTGAGAAAAAATACAAAAACTGCATTGTAAGAGTAAACTAATATGTAAAACCTAAGAATTTGGTTTTTGGTCACCTGAACGCGGGCGGAGTTGCGGGCAGTGCTAGTCGCTAATAAAAAAGTACCTATGTTCGAATGATAGACACCACGTCATTCGATGTTTAGATATGCGATTCCTATACGTACATTTTTTATATAAATAATCATTTTTTTATTAGTGATAACAACTGTTAAAAATTTAACTAATTCCTCTTTACTTTATGATATACTAGCGGCTCACCCTCGCTTCGCTCGGGTTCGCCTCTAGAAAAACACTAATAAAAATCTATTAGTTCCCACGGGAACCGTTCATTTTTCCCGGATGAAAAGTAACCGGTTGTTTGACCGGCAATATAAGGTATCAGAATGTTACATTTTACTAAATTAGGTGCATAAGTTGTATAAGTTATAATAGTTTTTTAACTATCCCACGGGAACCATTATATTTTTCGGGATAAAAAATATCTAAGACGTTGTCCGGGGATATACGGTACCACCATGCAAAATTTCATTTAAATCGGTCTAATAGATTCGGGATTAGCACGTACAAACAGACAAACAGACAAACAACACGGGAACGCAGTCGAACGGGATAAAAAGTATCCTATGTCCGTCTGTGGGTTCTAAGCTACCTCCCCGCCAATTTTCAGCCAAATCGGTTCAGCCGTTCTGGAGTTATAAATAGTGTAACTAACACGACTTTCTTTTTATATATATAGATTTTGTTCTAAAATTAAAATATGAAGAAATTTTATAAAAAGAAGTTAACTTACATAGTTATTATGAGACGTGTGACTTATGTAGGCCATTATTACACGACGTGAATTAGCGCAGTATTGTATATACGTGCGAAATTAAACACCGTACAATAAACTATCAAAAATTATAACTATGGGATGGGTAGATAAGCTAAGGGATTGCGTATTGTAGAACTTGGATAAAGCGGATATCGTTTAATAAGGTTACTAATTCGTATTATTTATAATTTATAATACTATAAATGTGAAAGTTTGTGAGTATGTATGGATGTTTGTTACTCTTTCACGCCAGAACGGCTGAACGGATCTGGTTGAAATTTGGCAGAGACATAGATTATAGTCTAGAATAACACATAAGCTACTTTTTATCTCGGAAAAATATACGCTTTCTGTGGGATAGGTTTGTTTTTGTTTTACTAGAGGAGAACTCGAGCAAAGCGAGGGTGAACCACTAGTTAAATATAATTATATTTATATTGAGAAATATAATTGGTTTATTCGTATGTTTGTTTGTGTGGAGGAAATAATATGATTTCGTGATGACCGATGTCGTCTCAACGTCGAAAAGTATGATTTCGACTGAACTGTACAGAGAATAATATGATAGTGCAAACACAAGCTTGCACTCTCTTATCCTCTTACTCTCATAGTCCAATGAGATGATACTTCGACACCACCGTAAAGAATGAAGGCGTAAAACCGACAGATTTACATGCGCTCCGAGGCACGGAAGTGAAACACCGCGAACTTCTCAAGTCCTGGCTGTTACTAAGAATTTATTAACAGAAAAAATCAATAACTTAACTCGAGCCTACCCGAGGCTCGAACCCAAGACCTCCGAATCTGCAGTTTTACATACTAGCCATTAGACCACCGAAACGGTGAACTATTATAATTATATATTATGATAAATAAATTATATTATGTCTCCACCACAAGGATTTTAGACTTTTAAAACTTTTAACAATAAAAATATGGAAATATATCAAAATATATCGATTGTAATATTATGTAAACAAATTAGACGAATTTTATTGACAGCTCCAAGTATTTGACTCCAATAAAGATGGCCGACTCCAGCTTTCTGAAATGGCAAAGTAAGTAATTTATACTACCTAATTACTTACCTTACTCGTTTTATTTTTTAAATTATTCTATATTTCATTAACACTTCACACAGTGATAGCTATAAGATTTACACAATGTTAGTTCCTTGCCTTGTGCAAGAAATGCACTGTATACACAATAATGTAGATACATACATCTAGCGTGATAAAGTCTGTTACACACAACTGAAACTGGCATATTACACGTTATAAATATCGTCAGACTCGCTTTACTTTGTGAAACGTTCTAATGCTGGTATCTTCATAAATATGAAATATTTACAATTTAATTACAACACTAAGTCCAACGACATTTTTCATAAGAAGGGCTGATAACTCTCTGTCTACTAGACTTTTATGAATTTTAGTTTAGTTATCTATAAATTATCATAAGTTTTGTTTTATTAATCTTTTATATTCACTTTCGTTTGCTGTATCTGCTGTCGTAACATGTATGTATAATAAGACTTAAGAATAACATATATTTTTCCTGTTTCGAATCTTTAAAAATGGGAGTTTCTTATAGAAATCTTCTTATAGAGAAGTTAGACATAAAAACTTTTTGGAAAACTGTGGACGCTTTGAGGTATTATACATCAATTTCACTATCCTACGTCTTTATTAATAAGATATAATCTATTTAATATAATTATGCTAAATCACAGATTGCTACCAGTGAAGGAGAACTTCCTTTGCCGACAGGTGTTCAAGGTGAGTGACGTCTAATTTCCCGAAGCGACATTGTTTCACTCCCGCCATTTCGACATCATAATATTCCTGTGCTCAATTACTTTATGATTAATTAAAAATGCCTCTATAAAGATTATATTATTTTTATAGTAATAACTAAAGTAAAGGTGGCTATATTTTTGTTTGTTAATATAGACAACGAAGTTTAAATTTGAAGTATATTATGTTAATTTACACATTAGTTTATATTTTTTAATCACTGTAGCTGTGTTCAGTGCCCACTCCAACTTTATTTGAACTTATGGGTTCGCAATAAATAGGTACGTCAATTTTTGGCGCCAAATAAATTATCGGCAAGGATTTGTTTTTTTTTTCAATATATTTATAGTTTTTTAGATAATCGGATAAAGTGATTGAGCAAAGATCCAATAAAATATGTTTATCGTTTTCACAAATTTAATTTTGATTAATTTTGTCTCAGTCTTTTGGATTAACAATTTTCTTTCGGCAAATAACTATTCAAAAAATTACTTATAGCATAATATGAATAGTTTATAGTGAATAGCAATGTTTTAATTATTTAGTATATGTATTGTTTAGACGCAATATGTAACGAATATTTTTTGTAGTTCATTTTTCATTCGATTTTTTTTGTGTATGTCAGTCATTAAGTTTAAAAAAAGCATTTTTTTTCTTCTCTTTCTCTAGTCTATTTTTTTATTTTCTAAGTACATTATTAGGTATATATTTATTTAATATTATTAACTTAATTATGTTTTATCATAGATTATGTATTAAAAGAAAAAATATTAAAATTTATAATATTAAAATTATCTTATCCATTTCTTTTTTAGTTTGCTTTATTTGAACACATGACATATCACATTTACATATCTATTCACATAGAATCGCACATACCGCATACATTAGAGATGCTCGTAGTACCTTTTAGATAATGGAGTGTGATACTGACTTACATTAAATAATTGTGTTTAAGGAAATAATAGTATAGCACTATTTATTCACTTAGAACAATGATAAAATATTGAGAAATAACTGTAACATGATGTATAGCAAACTCACGCAGTCAAATCACTTTGTAAATAGGTACAGAACATGCAAAACCTTTAAACGAAACATAAAATTTTATCGCATGATCCTAATTAGGATAAAATTTTAATTTTTCTTCAAGTAAAATTAAAACATTATAATTCTGAAATGAATTTATAACAAGGATTTGTCTATTTGGATAAAGCATGTTACTATTGATTTGCCTATCTATCTATCTATCTATCTTAATTCCTAACACTACTGCTTGTCTGCACTGCACTCTTAGGAGGGCATAGAGGTGAGTCCTCAAAAATCTAACAAAATGCCTATCTCTTACTAAATTTTATTTTTTTTATTTTATTTCTTTTATTTTAATACAATATTTAACTTTTATATACCAGATTTACACATAGAAAAACACTTATACACTACAATTTATTTTGTTATTGTACATTCATGCTATTAACTCTTAATATTATTTATATGACACCTTTATTACAATATGAACCTCTCTATAAAAATACACAAAAAACTATTTTTGGCCCATTATTTGTTTTTCAACTAGCACTAAGGAAAATGCACTAGAGAAATTGCACTTTCAAAATGTATAATTAATCATTTAAAATTCTACTTAATCTAATAGCTTATACATTTTTATATTGAAATTATTATTTAAATGAGATTTGTAAATTTTTAAGGTTTACCGTTTAAGTATCAGTGCAGCACACATTTTGATGTTATACTTATTTATTTGATTATATAATATCTATACAACTAATGCCTAAAGCATGCCTTAAAATACTTTTTTTTAATATTAAAAAATATATAAAACAAATTATAGTAAACCTTTAATTAGTTTTTTAGAACATTTTTTTAATATATTTTTTTATTTCAATGTACTTACATATATTAGTATACTATGTTATATTTTAAATATTTTTCTAATATGTATATTTAATTTAACAGGGTGCTACGAAACTAACGAAGGATGATATCGAACGAGTATTTTCTCTTTACGATAGGGTAAGTACTAATTAGCAATTAGAGCCTTTAGACTAAGGATCTTAGTTTAGATTGTTATTTTTTAAGTTTTCCGTTTCATATTTATCATGTTTTTAATGTTTTAAATTCAATCTACATTTTTGAAATATCTTAAATACAAATTTAAAATAAATAAATATATTTCATTTACTTTCAGGACAACAACGGTTCCATAGAAAACGAAGAACTACGAGGTTTTCTTAAGGATCTCTTAGAATTAGTTAAAAAGGTATACTTAAGTTTAGAATCAAACCAAAGCTATAGGCAATGCATATGAGATGTAAAAAAATGTACTTGTGATAACTACATACATGTTATTATACTGTAAATTAGGTTTATACCCTTGCAATAAATATTATTATTATTAATAAAGAATATTTCATCATCTTAAAATCAAAAATTTTCTTTCTCTCATCATCTTCAATCTCATTAACTTATTTCACGTTACAGGATTACGACGCCCAAGACTTACTTGAATTTGAAGAAACAATACTACAAGGCGTCGAATACAGCAGTGAAGGCAAAATAAGTAGGAAACAACTAACGATGATCCTCTTAGCCATCGCCAAACATAACCAAGAAGAGGAAGTGTCGACTCCATAAGAGTCTTTAAATGTTTTCGCCAGTCCGTCCCAGTAGTAATGAATTAACATTTGTAACACGCCTTATACTGTCCAATGAAATTTAATAAATAAAAAAAAAGAATGCTGGTATAAAAAAGTTTATTTTACTTTTTCATTAATTATAATATTATCTTTTAACAAAAACGTGTGTGTGTTTATGTACGCACGCAAAAAGTTATACTTCTTTGGCGTAACAGAACAAAAATAGCTAAAGATTTCATCCCGTCTGTCACAACTCTCTGTTTGTAAAAGAAATGCTATTCATCTTCATGTCGCTTTTTGGCTGTCGGTGTACGCGCGAATCGTAAAAATTTTACTCTCATAATTTTTTCCAAACGTGCCAAAAGAAGTATAACTTCAAAAACTTTAAAAACTAGATACTTTCAACAAATTACAATGTAAGCGTGAATGCCCTACAATTTCGGTTCCGCTGAACCGTTTAATAACCACCTCAAACTTTTTGGTTCATTGAACAGTATGATCGTTTGTTACAGCTTTATGCTTCTTAAATTTTATGAAGTGAACATGATTCTATTTTTATTCACAATTTCAATTCGAGTTATTAATATTGAGTGTTTTAAATGTCTCTTTAATTTTATATTTTTAAGATTGAATTCAAGTTGAATGTTGAATCTTATGACATGAACCTTACATTAGGGATCTCATTATGAAATTACGTTTTATAATTAAAATATATATATAAATAATACTTTTGTTTTTTCGCTTTATAATTGCGTTTCCGCTTCTCATAGTGTTCATAATCTTGTGCGCCCGATTTCTGGAGACCTGAACTGCACTAAGCCCATAAAGGAATTTTATTCTGCTTCTCGAAAAAAATCACGAAAGCAATGTACATAATTACTTAAACTGCAAAAAAATCATTTCAGTATAAAAAATGATAAAAGATTTCTTACTACAGGTTTTGTATTGTTAAAACGTATACTGAGGCAGAATGGGATGTTTTGATTTTATAATTTAAATTTTATATTAAATTATATTTCTTTAATATTTTAATAATTAGTTATAAAATATTATATTTTAAATCACGAAAATATGAAAATAATATCTAATTAAAAGCCGAACATTCAAATGTCAATAAAAAATGGATTTAGAATTCTATTTTAATAATGTGTGAAAAGTCTCACACGGCGGAACACCACCGTCTCTGTTTTTATTCAAAATTCAAAATTATTTGTACGTTAAAGCGGCTATTTCATACTTGTATCCCTATTATTAAAGTTTATGTTCGTAAAAACATCTAACAAAACATATATGTATATAATAATAAAATGTCAATGACTAAAATTTTACATGTATAGTATAAAAAGTTTGTTTTTTATATATATAAACCGTAAAATATACTATATTATGTGTTGTGTAATGAGTAATCTGTGTGTTTTGGCGTTTTAGAAATTATTGTGTATTTGTAACCATATTGTTGTTTTCTATATAAATGTTACCTTAAATCAGTGTTTACGTAACATGTATTATTGTAAGTAGATTTATGTATTTGATTTATACGTTGTAGCAATTTTGTAAATTTTCCAATAAGTAGTTAGCTATGAGTGTTGCTATTATTGCACAAGTTCCACACTCTCGGCTATACTAGGTATACGAAAAAACATTGAGAACAATGAAAGAACTTTAACCGAGTGTGTGGAGCTGATTTAATTATAATAAATGGAAAAAGTGACATGTATTTAAGTTTTTACTAAATAAAAAGAAATATTAATCTCATTATCATGAAGCCAAAACGAATGCCAAATATTAGAACTTAGTTACTCATTATGTAGTTTATATTTTCATAAAATAGTAGCATTTTTTATTATTTCACCATTGGTTGGATATTAGCGGCTAAATCACAAAATAAACTAAAAATAGCATAATATGTTTAACAAAACAATTATGATTCCAGCATACTTAATAAATACAAAAAAAATACTCTTAACAATATAGTCGCTAATATGCAAATAATCTTTAAACACTGTAGTTAGAAAATGACATATCATTCGAAGCTATAATGCGTCTTCGTTGATAGAACACATAGACGTAGAGAATAGACTGAGCTGATGATAGAATGCTAGATGATAGAATGCTCTTACGAAATTGACCACTCTCTAGAAAGAGAGGAAGCCAACGCGCGGCCAATACCTGTGTTTTATTCCAATTTATAAAAGAAATGTTAAAAAATAAATATACAGAAGAATTTGAAATTATTATAAATATCTATCTTCATTAATCGTATTTCAATTAATACGGAAGACTTCTGGCCGCACATTCGTTTTGTCTCTGTCGCGCCTGTCCGCGATTTTTAGCAGACGACTGGCAAATAAACGCTCAGTCTCTTCTCTATGTGTATGATAGAACAAGAAAATCTAGCGAGCCGGTTCCATTTTCATATACATGATATTTAATTTAATATTATGCTTTTATTTCGTGAATGAAAGAAAGATGAAATCAAAGAATTTACTGCTGGTTGTTAAAAAAACAGAAGGCTGTTGAAAAATACGTATATAATTTTGTTTATCTAATTTGGTTGGAATTGTCTATGGTATTAAATAAATGTTGTGATAATTGTTAGGGTATAGATAACTCACGTGGTTTGTATCATTGCAGGAATAAGTAATAAAATTGCTTTTTTGTTATTGCGATGGAATAACAAAGAGAAATATTAATAAAAATTAGTTATGTCAATATAAATTTACTAATTATAATAGGCCCACTTTACGTTAACTCTCTATATGCCATATTTTAAAAGTTTTATAAAGAAATGCTACAATTTTTAAAAAATGGTCTAATAATATCTATAATTCTAAGTGTAGTATTTTAAAGACAATTAAATTTTTTCATAAAATATGGCCTATATAAAGTTAACTATAGCTATCATAAAGCACGGAATATGCACAAAAAAGAGATTTATATATTGTTGTACAATAAATGTTTTAAAACAGATGCAAATTCATCAAAAAAATTATATATTTCATTCAATATGTAATAACGAATAACAAAAATAATATACTTAATAAAATAAACGTGTTATTTTTTATTAATGTATAATTTAAGATAAAATATCATATTCATTGTTATATCTTCATTGGTGTTTCGGCTATCCATATAAATAAGTTTTTTTTTTAAATGATTAAATAACTATATGTTTAGCGACACTGAGTGTACCTAATTTAAAAGCCACATATTTATACTTTACATAAAGCAAGATGAAAATCTATATCACTTCAGCACTATAAAATTATTAGGTACCTAACTAAGTATTTTGGGACGTACAAATTAGTCTGTGAATTTTTGATCTAAGCGAATTTATCAGTCGTAAAATTAAACAAAATGTTAAATTTTGATCTTAATATTTTATCTATTCGCCAGTCGCCTTTTTATCTGTGTACATCTAATTCAAAATATCCTAATGTCATGTCACTAGTTAAAAAAAAACTGTAAAATCAGATTGCAACAATTAATGCTCAATGCTCATAGATTTTATATTATATATTAGGAATTATGTTGCTTTATGTAAAGTAATCAACTCCAACGCTAAACGCTATGTACCTAAGCTAAGTCTACGGGATAGGCTAACTGAAGAAAAATGGCAGGCATTATGAAGAGTTAAAAAAGTAAACGTAATAGTGTCTGACCTTTTTAGTTTTTTCCATACCTCTTAAACGAACTAAAATCGATTTCAACTTCCGATTTTTTCCAAAAAATCCAAATTGTCAAAGAACTCTACTAAGAGTCTGTGTGAATGTTTCCCTTAAAATGAGATTTTTGTATATTCTTATTTCCATACACCATGCAGATAAAGAATTGGATTATGAAAAGTGTCGCTTCTATTAACTTTTTGTGAGGTTTTTCTAATACTCACTAAAATATATATCGCAAAACCCGCCATTTTTGGATATTATTATTTGTTATCTACGATATTTTATTTTTCTACCTTCGAAAATAATTAAAACTTATAAAACAAAAAGGAAAGAAAGAAAATTTAATAATTGTTGCTTTAAATCCAGTAGTATATTGACCGTACTTACAGTAATACCGTACAATGAGCCATTTCTAATCCCATTCGTTATTTGTAGTTTGCGCACGTTATATAAAATTGTTATTTCAAGATTTCTTATTTTAATCAATAAAAGTATAATTACTTAATTAAAGTAATCTAAAAGAACCTTTTGTGTAGTTATTTTTTTGTCAGTGTATTTTTTATATTTTTATACACAGTAATAGAAAAGTTAGCCCATCTTGTAGAATAAGTGTTTGAAATAAGAGAATGTTTGCTATATAAAATGTTTATATTTGTAAAAGTGTTTTATTTAAAACCCTGCTCTAACTGCCTCTACTGAAGACGTCAATTAGAGAATTGGCTAGTTGTGGTAATGTCCTCTGAAATGAAAATTAACTTTATTGAATTAGTCTCATATAAGCACTTTTGAATTGTCAATTCGATTTATAGTTATAATCGGTGTAGTCAGTCCGAGTGGAAGCTACCACTTTTTCGGAGGGCAATTAACCTTTAGAATAAGAACCGGTGAGAAACTAAACAGTTGCTCTTTTTAAAAACCGAGAGTCAATATTTAATACAATATTATAGTTATCCCGCCTATGAATCAATTTATTTAAACTAGCAAAAAAGCGGTGCTTTAGTAGGGCTCGCGAAGTTTTCTACCTAGTAATTTTGAAGGCAGTTTTTTAAAAAGAATTAACTTTTAATTTATCGATTATTAACATGGGTTTCTGTAAACTGAAAACGCTAGATATTTAAGCCAATAGATGTTTTTTTATCTCCAATATCTACAACAGCTTTATCTAATATTAAGCCTTGTGACTTATGCATTGTAATCGCGAAAGCTAATTGTCAAGTATGCTCCATTCATATTATAAATCTATTTTTTAGTTTTCTTACAAATGGCGTTACTAATACAATAAAAATATAATTGAATCCAACCTGAAAGTGTGATAGTTTCTCAGTAAAGTGTACCACAAAAATGCATAGATTGTGGGATAGTGTAGGTGGGAAGGTCGTATCAAAAGTGCAAGAATCTGGATTTGAACCCTCATAACTTGGTTCCCAAGTGTGCTTACGATACCAGTGGGATTTTACTGGCTCCACTTAAATCTATAGCTAATAAATATTTTTGGTAGGAACACATTTAAAATTGGCATTCATTTATAAATAAAAAGCAAACCGAAAAGGAAATTCTAAAAAAAATAGTTTACAGTAAGAAATTTTAGTGATTACCTTCAGAAAAAAAGTTAATATTTGGTCATATAACCATACTCAATACGGTCAAAAAATGTTTTTTTTAAACTGTGAAAGAAAGATGAAAATTATTTTTCCTAGTTAAACGCAATATTAACACGTCACGTGACCATGTCGTTGACGACTTTCATGAATTTACTCCCCATCCAAACCTGCCTATAGAAATTTTCACTTCAATAAATTTTTTTTGTAAGCCAATCATAGAAATACATATAAAATTACATAGTATATTGAAGAAATATTAGTACAATTAATAAAAAACTAGGTACAAAACTATACCTCCATTAAATAAATATATAATGTACTAGCGACTCACCCTCGCTCCGCTCGGGTTCGTCCCTAGTGAAAATTTAGGTTTGTATGTATTTTTCAATGCCGAATCATAACATTTTTTTTTGGGTGGACCACCCTTATCACTTAGGGGGATGAAAAATAGATGTTGGCCGATTCTCATAGATACTGGATAAGCACAAAAAATTTCATCAAAATCGGTCAAGCCGTTTCGGAGGAGTATGGCAACGAAAACTGTGACACGAGAATTTTATATATTAGACATATCTATACTATAATAAAAGAGTAGAGGTCGAATGTCTATAAATATCAAAAAAATGCTAAAAACCGAGTCAGGGCGATGTAAGAAGACAAATTCAGTTTTTTTCCAAATTTTTGTTTCTCTGTCTGTTTGTCTGTTTGTACGGGCTAATCTCCGAATCTATTGGACCGATTTGAATGAAATTTTGCGTGGTAGTACCTTATATCCCTGGGCAACACATACATACATACATACATACATACATACATACATACAAAAATAGCTTTCTAAGCAAAAATTAGCCTTCTATGTTATAGCTACAGAATGTGTCATATACACCGTCTAACAGACGAAAACGACGAAATTGTAAATTATTAATTTTGCCATTAATTGACTCTGAAATCGATTCAGTATTTTTGGAGCCTATTCGCTACAAACAAACAAACAAGCAAAAACATAAATATTTCCTCTTTATATAGTATAGTTTACCACAATCTATACATCTGTATCTATCTATACTATAATAAAACAGTAGAGGTCGAATGTCTGTACATATCAAAAAAAAGCTAAAAACTGAGTCAGGGGGATGTAAGTAGACAAATAGAACAAATCCAGATTTTTTTCAATTTTTTTGTTTCTCTGTCTGTTTGTCTGTTTGTACGGGCTAATCTCCGAATCTATTGGACCGATTTAAATGAAATTTTGCATGGTGGTACCTCATATCCCCGGGCAACATCTTAGATACTTTTTATACCGGAAAAGTAAATATTTCCCGTGGGATAGTTAAAAAACTATAATAACTTATACAGCTTACTACACAACAACTTATGCACCTAATTTAGTAAAATTTAACATTCTGATACCTTATATTGCCGGTCAAACAACAGGTTACTTTTCATCCCGGAGAAATAAACAGTTCCCGTGGGAACTAATAGATCTCTATTAGTGTTTTTCTAGAGTCCAACCCGAGCGAAGCGAGGGTGAGCCGCTAGTGTTAAATAAAACTACTTTTTCAGAGTTATTCGGGGATTTATTGTGGTTATTGGTTCTTGACGTTTCAAGTGCTTTACATCAATCGTGATCACTAAGAAGCAAGATTTCCTTGTACTACAGTAGTTTTTGAGTGAAAGAGTAACAAACATCCATACATCCAGACATCCATACATCCTCACAAACTTTTGCATTTATAATGTTATAAATAAAATAATATACCTAGTATTAAAGATATAATAAAAAGGTAACCAACTTATAACGGAAATTTTAATGAGTCAGAAGAGTTAAGTTAGAAAAACTAACCGTATTTAACGGAAAATTTAATATAAAAATAATATAAAATGTCAAAATATTATATTTTTATAATAAATCCATTACTAATATCATATTTATTTAAAAGGTATTTAAAAATATCCAATTAAATATCGATAACATATCGATTCAAAATACAGAAAAATGTAACATCATAGCGTCACTCAAAAATATCGACCAATCAAAAGGCTTACTTGAACAGAGAACCATAGACAAGGATACGCAATCCTGCTGCCTGCATAGCGTTGCGGTGCGATTTTCGCGGCCGTATTATTTTACTTAATTTACTGTAATTGGTGATTAAAAATAATAAAAACAGCTACAACCATTTAATTATGGGTGTCAACGTTGAAACTATTACCCCAGGCGATGGTAAGTAAATGTTAACTCTAGATTATTTTAAGTGTCTGCCCTTTAATAACCTCAATTAATATAATATCAATAATCTATTACGTTTTAACACATGTACAAAAATAATCTTTATATGTTGTAAACTTCACACTAATTTCCTTTGGAATATATTGTCATTATGTCGTGGAAAATTTCCACACCGGTTCGAAGTCCACGCCTATATATCATTACAAGGTACTTAATAAGTACTTATCTAGCTTAGGGAAGAAGCATATTATCATATTAGTTATAAATTTAAGTAATTAATGTGTGCCCTAAAAGTCTAATTATATAATGATTCTTAAGTGCACAAAAAAACTTTAAAACGAATCCGGATTCGCTATTAAATATTTCGCTTCACTAGTTTAATCATTTAGTTATCCAATAAAAATTTACAGCAAAATGCTTATTGTTCATATGAAATCATAAATATTATCTTAGACTTATATCTTAAGACAATAGAAAAAAAACAAACAAAAGATTTACAGACTTTTTGTCTAATATGATACCATCACATTACAAACTGATGTTGCTGCAAAACTAATAGTTGATGAATATAAACATTTACAGAGTCCACTTACCCTAAGAGAGGTCAGACAGTGGTTGTCCACTACACTGGCACACTGACAAATGGGCAGAAGTTCGATTCATCTCGTGACCGTGGGAAGCCCTTCAAGTTCAAGATTGGCAAAGGTGAAGTTATTAGGGGCTGGGATGAGGGAGTCGCAAAGGTAATAACTCTTTAATACATCTACTTTACAGCTTTACATGCAGTATTTTAATAAATATGAGATATTTTCCCGTGGTAAAAAGTATCCAATATGTTGACCCGGATAACCAGCTTATCATCATATCAAATTTCATCAATTCCCTCCAGTGGTTTTTCTGTGATGCGGTAACAGACAGACAAAAATTCTAAAAACTATATGTGTATTGAAAATAATGTTTATTTCAATAAGATTTTCCAAAAAATATCTAATGTACAGATTCGGCTTAGTTATTACAATTTTATTATATGTAAAGACTAGAGACTCACTCTGCTCGGGTTTGTCTCTTGGTATGTTTTAACGGATAGTATAGATTACTCAGAGATGAGATATCGACAGTAAAAAGTATCCTAAATGTTGACCCGGATAACCAGCTTTCATCATACCAAATTTTGACAAAATCCATCCAGTGGTTTTTTCATGATGAGCTCCCAGACAGATGCAAAAATTCTAAAAACTGTTAATTCAACCTCTGAATCGACAATAACGTCTATTTCAATAAGATTTTCAAAAAAATATTTTATGTACAGATTCCACTCAGAATTCTCACTATTATATAGAATTCTATTATATATATACAGATTTATTTGCCAATCTTAACTGATAATTGTTCACATATTAATAAAAAACAGTTGTAACATTATAAAAGCCCATTAATATATAAAACATCTTTTTTTCTAAAAGTAATTTTTGAATAGTAATAATTAAACATAACCAGTTTAATTCAGGTCACCACAAGTTATAAAAATATATATTGCCCTATACAAAGTATTGGTGTAACCCAGTGCGCATGAAAGCCATTAAAATATTATAATTATAATAAAAATTTAAAATATAATTATATTTACTTTAATTATTTACAGATGTCTGTTGGTGAACGAGCCAAGTTGACCTGCACCCCCGACTATGCCTATGGACAACAAGGCCACCCCGGAGTCATTCCTCCCAACTCTACCCTCATCTTTGATGTTGAACTCATCCGTCTTGAATAAACTTTTTAGATTTAATCCATTAGTTTAAGAGCACTCAATTCTAGTGTTCCAAATCACATCTTTGAACTGTCAATTTTTGAAGCCTTTACATGTTTTTGTTTGATGGATTTTGTTTTTTTTTAACATTCCGCAAGCATTTCGACGTCAATTATAACAATATTTTTGTGATCTTTCTATTTTTTTGTGAAACACAAGATCAAGAAATAAGGTCTTTTTACTTGTATTCTGATAGATACTTGAAAGCTTTATTATAATACTTAAGAATAAACTTCATCTAACATTCTCTGCCTTTTTATTGTCTATGTAATATGCCATAAACTAGTATGATTAACTAGCGACTCACCTTCCCATCTGGTCCGTCCAGACAAAAATAAATTATCCTACAGGAACCGTACATTTTCCGGGATAAAAAGTAACCTGTGTGCTATTCCAGACTATAATCTATCTCTGTGCCTAATTTAATCCAGATTCGTTCAGCCGTTCTGCTGTGAAAGAGTAACAAATATCCATCTATCCTCAGTATAGATTTAAATTTAGTATTAGCATGTATGAGGCCAGATAAAGAATTGCCAAATATACAATTAAATACTCTATTCATATCAAACACTGGTGTGAAGAATAATTATTATTAATTACCCATAAAAAATACCTGCTATTCTATTGCTAAGTCCACAGTATAAAATATTTTAAAATTAATATACGCTTTATTTACACGGTAAAAAAACAGCTAATATTTAAAAAAAAAACGTGTGTGTGTACTTATATACGCACGTAAGAAGTTATACTTCTTTGGCGTAACAATAAAAAAGCTAAAAATTTCATTCTGTATATCACAATTCTCTAAAAGGAAGCTAACTTCATCATGTCGGTGTGCTCGCGCATCGTAAAAATTTTACTCTCAACGTTTTCCAAACGTCCTAAAAGAAGTATAACTTCAAAAATAAGTTAAGAACATGCATACATTATTTATTTATTTTAGTATGGATGAGCATCCCATACAAAGAAATTGGACAGCGCTAATTCGGGCTATTTTTATTTGCTTAAATAAATAAATAGATGTTGGTCCGCAAATTCTCAAACAGTTTTTTCAATATAAACATAAATAGTGATAACTTTTCCCTTTTTTCATGCCATCTATAAGAACTACTGAACGTATTGGCATGGGACTTTGACCAATAAACGCGGGATCGTCTACAGATGGTTTTAGAATTATTTGAATTCCATACATTCTTGATTCTTGTCAATTTTTTTTATTTTCATACTAATACTATGTAAATGTGTGTGTGTTTGCTTGTTTGTTTTTCTTTCACGTCGAAATGGAGTGACGGATTCGCGTGATTTTTTGTGTGGAGATAGTTGGAGGGCTGGAGAGTGACATAGACTACTTTTTATCGCGGAAGATTATTTAATTCTCACGGGAAAACACGTTATAGTACAATCCAAAAAAAATATATGATCAGTATTACTTGAAACTTGATATTAATGTTTTCCAATAAAAAAATAAATAAATATGTGTTTTAGCATTTTTCGAAATTCATCCTTTATGGCGGTAAAATAGAGGATGAAAGTTTGTATGAAACTACCTTTTTAGAGATTTTTTATAGTTTTAGCGCGAGCGAAGCCGCGGGTTCTGCTAGTAGGTACTTTATAAATATTTTTTCCCGCCAATAAAAACCAAAAACGTCACACTTTTTTCAGGGGCATTATTTCGTTTTCGTTCATTTACAATATTTTTTTTAAAACCGTTATATATATCTTTTTAGGACCAATTTTCATCTTTTAATTATATTAGTTTATCCATTACAAACAAAAATACATTTTTTACTCTACAATATTAGTATAGACAAAAATAGTTATGACGAGTAATAGACATAACCTTTATAAGTTAACTTTTATTTGTATCTATTTTAGATTCATAATAATTATCTTTAGGTTTAGGACATTTTTATTTATTATTTATTCATATACCACAAACATATAGACATACAAACACACATGCATACATACATACAAACTTATACACCTACACACACATATATACTCTAGGATCATAGATAGCGCTTTTCAAAAAAACAAGTCAAACCAGTCGTGTTTAAAATTTCAAATCAATTTAAAATTAAATGCATATTCTCCATCAGTCTCAAAAGTTACCTATTCTAATATTATAAAGTTTGTTTCGGATAGGCTCCGAAACTAATGAACCGATTTAAATGAAATTTGGTAGGAGATAGTTTTAGGCCCTGGGAAGGACCATAGGATAGTTTTTATCGCGGAAATCATCCCTAAGGCGGTGAAAGTTTGTTTAGGTAGCAACCTATAAAAATATACAACAAACAACATAATATGAAATGAAAAACATACATTACCCGTCTTAGGTTTGAATAAAAAAAGAATATTGAACATGTTTATGTAAATACTTTATATAATAAAAGTGGTAAAATAGCAGTACCGAGTTTTAATACGCAATACGCATGGACTCAAATAACTATGCCCATGTGAGCGAAACATCTAGCAACTTGCAGTTTATTCATTTTCTGCCGAGTAGAGACGGTAAAAGTGATATATATAAAAAGTTTCAATAAGCTAGCCGCTCAGACAGCGACGACGCCCCACGCTCCCCGCCGAGGCGGAGAGTGAACGATCATCGAGGGCTGTCGGCCGAAGCCGCGCCCGCCTCACGCTCAGGGCGCCGCGCCACGTCTCATCCTCGCGGCTTGCACGATCACACCTGGTGTGTGGATCTCGTGAAGAGCTTACTATAGAAATGATCCTATGAAGTAAGGTCTTGTCGCAACTCGCGACCTCTCGCCGGTGTCATTATGCGCGACGGAATCTAGCCAGCGCGATGTAGAAATGGCGTCTAAATGTACAGCGCCATCTAGTGAACGTTATCATCTCTTACGATTACAGCGCCATGTAGCAGAGTACGGAACGACAATATCTCAGTTTTTTTTTACTTATATGTAGTGTTTGGTAATTCCCAGTTTATAACTATACTCTTTGGTAATGTCTAAATAAAAGCAAATTTAATAACATATGTTGTGATGTTTGCATCGTTCAAAACATAAAATGATATAAATAGAATGGCAAATAGCCATTGTTTATAGTATTATACCATATATGCTACTTAAGCTAAGGCGTCGTCAACATGTTTAAATTACTTTTATTTAAATCTAGTCATATTCATAATACTCGTAATAATTAAATCAACTATTTATTTAAGAATATTCAATATACTCTAGAATCATTTATAGCGCTTTTTGTATTTAGATAGCCAATTATAACATCTGTTTTTACGTAGCAAAATTTATTGATGAAAAAACAGTCTCGTCTCTCGTTTGAATTTGAAACACAAAAGAATTTAATTAATTAAATTTGTGTTTAGAATTTCTGCCACAAGTTGTAATAATTATCGTGTTTATGTATAGTAGCCAGCAGGGCTGGTTGAATTCCGACGGTATTTAATGTATTACAGATAAAATACGTTGAAACGAATTAATTAGCTGTAAGTTACCTTAGGAATAAGTGCTACACGATTTTGCACTTTACTGGCTAAACCGACGAAGATAGAGTTGGATAATGTGGGCCGATCCCGGCCGGGCGGCACTGCAATGCCGGGCCGACCCGTGGCGGGAGTGGAGCGAGCCCCGAACATCCCGCCGAGTCACAAAAATCAGTTTAATATACTGGTCCCGCAGTGCGGGAACTTTCAGATATTAAGCTGAAAAGAACAGATACTACACTTTGATCTTAGCCAAAAGGCGGTCGCGGCTCTGCGTGGTCATTGTGCGCGCCGGAATCTAGACAGCGCGATGCAGAAACCGCGAATTTATGGACAGCGCCATTTAGTAGAAGTACCAAAAGATTTTCGAGTTTACATACATTAACAATAATAATTTACAATAACATTATATGATACTAGCATTGCTCGCGGCTCCGCCCGCGTTCAGATGACCAAAACCCAAATTCTTAGGTTTTACATACAGTATACTCTTACATTGCAGTTTTTGTATTTTTCCCAGAAAGAGACCTTTTCCCGCGGTAAAAAGTATCCTATATGTTGGTTGGCCCGGATAACCAATTATGCAGGGGTGTTGTAGTGAGTGCGCAAGCGATCCTTCAACGCCCCATTGCACTGCGGCGACGGGTTCCACTGTGGGTTTGAGTGAGTAGGAGAGTCACAGAACCTTGCCCGTTGACGGCGGGCAGGGTCCCTATGATGGGTTTCCCCAGCGTTATAAAAAAAACCGACTATCATCATACCAAATTCCATCAAAATCGCTCAAGTGTTTTTTCTGTGATGCGGTAACGAGACAGACAAAAATTCTAAAAACTATAGATTCGGCCTCTGTATCGATAATAATGTTTATTTCAATAAGATGTTCCAAAAAATATTTAATGTACAGATTCGGCTTAGTTACAATTTTATTATAATACTAGAATTCTCCGCCTGCATACATATGACCAAAACCAAATTCTTAGGTTTTATATATTAGTATACTCGTATTAGTATATTAGTTGACCTGGATAACCAGCTATTACCATACCAAATTTCTTCAAAATCCTTCAAGTGATTTTTCTGTGATGCGGTCACAGGCAGACAGACAGACAAAAATTCTTAAAACAATAGGTTCGGCCTCTGTTAGCGATAATGTGTATTTCAATAAAATTTTCCAAAAAATATTTAAAGCACAGATACTGCTGATACTGCTTCATTAAATTTTCATGTATCTATAGATGAAACTAATTTATAAAGCCAAAAAGATTGTTTTTTGATAATTTAAACACGGGCGGGGCTGCGGGTAATTTAGTAGTAATTCTAATAAAATCATAGAAAGGTCAAATTAGTACATTCAATTTTTTTTGGAATTAAAACTACGTATTTTAAAGACACATGGCGACATCTATTGACAAATATCTAAATAATACAAAAATAAATATTCATTAAAATAATTTTTATAATGAATAAAATAGTGCTATTGATATACTTTTTCAAGATTAGCTATTTTTAATAGTTTTTGACATATTTAGTTAGAATTTTATTATATGTATAGATTATACATATAATACACCTTTTATTTATGTTTTTTTTAAATAAATTGTTTTTAATTTTAATCATTAAATCTGAAAATCTAAAATTGATTATTGAATCAATACAATACCGCAGACTTAAAATTTTAAACACCTCTCATAAAGTAAAGGTGGTACGGTACATATGTATTATAATATCTTAATATATATTCTTCTGTACGTGCGTTTCTTAACCTACTCCTCCTAAAAGGCTGGACCGATTTGGATGAAATTTTGTGTGTATATTTCATGTATATGGGCTCCTTAATGGTTTGAAAACACAAATAGACCCGGTAGGTGGCGCTGCTGTCGGTGTGCCACTGATGATCTCCTAAACGGCAGGGACGATTTTAATGATATTTTTTGTTTATGTTCAAGTAGATGCCTGCAAGATTTGAATTCACAAATGTATCTAGGTAGGTGGCGCTGCAGTCGGTCTGTCACTAAATTTTCATAAGACTCCATTTTCCGAGCAATAAATAAATTTAGATTGTTGATTAAATAAAATAAAAATCGATGTGTGTATGTATGTATGTTTCCTACGAACTCCAAAACAACTGGAGCGATTTTTGTAGAATTTTCAGGTAATCTTCAGATTAGCCCAGCGGGTGACCCTGTGATTTTGTTAGCGATCGGAAGTTTGGAAACGGGCGAATCCGCGGGTACTGCTAGTAGGTACTGAATATTTAATAAGCGGTAGGTTAAAAAAAACTCGGTAACTTAAGTTATTATATTTTATTTATAAATTTTGTATTCTTCATCTAAAATGTTTAATAGCTGCTCTTTTCTTTAAATAATATTAACATAAAATCACTAATTCTTGTAGTAAACACAAAAAATATCTCTTCAACTTAAATTTAACTATATCTATTACACTGCAGTTCGCCTTTATACAAAGCTTTACAGTTTACTTATATAATAATAGTTAATGTCATTATGAGATATCGCATATTACTTAATATTTTGACAATTTTGACTAAGTGTTTTATAGGATAGGTGCCTAAATTATTGTAATAGCTTAAATATTTATAGGTATTAACCTATGCAGGAAGCAACCAAGGTCATCCACCACCATGGACCAATAATTTTATTTTGTATTATTATCGTATCGTACCACGCTACTATAACCTAAGAAATTGGCTGCTGTGACCAGGGTCTGTTACTGAGATCACGATCACCTAGTGTATGGGTGTAGGTACTCTTAGTGTAGAGACATAAGAAAATATGTATACAGAATAAAAAAATTACATCACTCAAGTATTTACTCTCTTGGTAAAATTACACAAACAAATAAGAGCTCTTTCAACTGTCAAAAATTCGATTGACTTTTGAAATTTTCTCATATTTTTAACTAAGATTACGTCCTATGCAATCTTAAATTAATCAAGACTTTTTTGTCTATATTGGGCCGATCGTAGAAAAAGTAATAAAATTTATTATCTATACTAATAACTCTTTATAAGAGGTAAAAGTTTGTGACGATGTAGGGGGTAATCTATAGATCTACTGAACCGATTTAGATCAAATTTGGTAAGAAGATACTTTAGGACCCTGGGAAGGACATAGGATACTTTTTATCCCAGAAATGAAATGGGTGAAAATGAGGATGAAATTTTGTATCGAGTCGCTAGCAAATACATATAATGCTCAACAACATGATATTGTGCGTTTTTAATTAGTTATAAGGCAAAGAAAATCCTAGACTGACCTTGTCTATAAATTAATTAATGACTTCTAAACATATCAAAATATTAAACAAATAAAAATACAATTTGCGATATCTCAGAGAAGAAACTTATGCTAGTATTTATAGCAAATTTACTTCATCACCTTTGCATAATAAGAATAATCAGTGTTATTTTTATTAACCAATGTAAAATTTCGAATACATATTTGAAACAAAAAAACGTTTTCATTCTATACTCTTATAACTATTCGTTTTTGACGAGAGTCATGAAAAATATTTTTTTTTTATTATGGTATGGGTATTTGATAGTTAGATCCTCCCTAAATCTATGTACATACTTACATTCACTGCCCCATAAATAAATAGTCTAGTCAACAAGTGCCTTTTAAGTAAACTTTTTTCAGCAGTCTCTGAAAAATATGAACGAACGATATGAACGATTCGATTCGAAATGTATTGTTAATGTTTTTTTTAAATAAAGTTCCGCTTACAAAAATTGCAAAAGTTATAAGCAAATAACTAAAAATAAAAAAGTAACTAATTGAGATTTTTCAAAACTAAAAAGATTCAAAAAAAGCCATTCCGAATCGAATGACACCTCGTTCATTTTTTCAGAGACTGTTGAAACAAGTTGACCTAAAAGGCACTTGTTAACTAGACTAAAAGACGGACATCGCACTTGACCGACTTAGAGCACATTAATGCCCCAAGATAAATACCCAACCTGCCACAAGACAGGTTATTTACACAATCATTGTCAATCGGCCTACTAATAATAAACGATTATAATCTTTACTTCTTAAGTACAAATAAAATTATCTATTCGCCTCTTATTTAATAATCACAATAATCTTAAACGTTACATAATAATAATAGTAGGGGAGCCCAAGAGGGGATTTTGGTATTTACTCAAGCGCGGCAGATTAACGTAGGTTTATCGTACATAAACTTTATAGTCGATTATTGCCTCTTCGGCTTGTGCAAATCGGCAGATTATCGATTTGCACACTTTTCAGGATGCAATTAGCCCACAACACCTTAATCTGACGGTTTCGAGTATTTCTACCTTATATAAAATATTTTGATCGGCTGCTGTCCTAGGCCGCGCCCTTATGATTATATAGAGGACTTATATTATGGTGGAGGTACTCAACAGAGTGAAAAGTATAAGATAATCTGCCGCGCAAAGTAGATTCCAAAATCCCCTCTTGGGCTCCCCTACTATAAATGAATCTAACTAATATTATAAATGTGAAAATTTAGATGTTTGTTACTCAATCACGCCAGAACGGCTGAACGGATCTGGATGAAATTTGGCACAGACATAGATTATATAGTCTGGAACAGCTCATAGGCTACTTTTTATCCCGAAAAAATGTACGGTTATTGAATAGAATAGAAATTTGCAATTCACACTTTTTTAATTATTTTTGAATGAGAAACAGTTCATCGTTTAGTAAAAATACTCACCGATGTAGCAAAGCCTCAGAAACTTAATTAAGAAGGGAAGGCTGTAATATAAAAATATATCTTATTCAAAATTGCAATTACATATTTCGGTTTTCATCGAAAATATTTTAATGAAGTAAAATGATCGGCAAATACTTGAAAGATAACCTTGAGTTCACAATAGTCAATTTTTTCGGCCTTTTTGTGGAAAGAAAATTTTAGGCATGTGTAAGTCAAGATATTTGCCTGTTTTAACAAAGTTTTTCAAATTTATATTTACGCCTTTACGTATTAATATCACGAGTGTAAAGTTTTTACTTTGTGATTTTTCACAGAATGCATAATAAATAAAAAAAATAAGGAATTGCAACAATTACATGCATTAATTTTTACATAAAAATTAAAGTTGCTATTATTGGTGTAACAATAAAAAATATGAAAATTTTTACTTTCATACTCGCGATATAACACCAGATAGCTATTTTTAATACATACATTGCTATATATATTTATGTATATGTTTAGTAATTTACATACAAAAATATAAGCATCGTGATTAAGAATGGAGTTAGAGATTGAAATCAGTCACATATTTACTGGCATTAATTTTAAAATTAGTTCTTTTTTCATAATAATGACAGCGAAATCGAAGACCTATTTACATTATGAAACGTAAAAAAAACTCGAGTATTATTTCCTCGAGCGTCAAAAATACCAAATCCATTGTACTAACACAGACATAGAGAGTGACCTTAGCGTTTCTTTGCCGTCAGCTAAAAATGGCGGCAAAGCGACAGTGACAAAAAACGAATGTGCGGCCAAAAGTTTTCCGTATTAATTGAAATACGATTAATAAAGATATATATAACCATTTTCAACTATAATTTTTTTACATTCCATTTATAAATTCAAATTGAAACAAGACATCTTATTGGCCGCACGTTGGCTTTCTCTCTTTCTAGAGTGTGGTCAATTTCATGACAGTATTGTTCAGTCTATTCTCTAGGACACTTCAGAAATTTTGAATATGTTAGAAACATTTAAGCAAGGTACAAATAAAGCAATATGTTTAAAAATATGCTATTATGCACGTATTTTGTTTATTTTTAATTACACTTACGTCGTCACAACGTTGTTAAATATACATTTTATTCAATATGAGAGTAAATACCACGTTTTTTTCTCAAAAATATCAAACATTACAATCAAAAATATATTTTTTAATAATTTAAATAGTTAAAAACAAAAACAATGATACTTAATTATTATGGTGGTAAATGCAGTGAGGACGTAACGCAAAATCGTATAAACACGAAGTAAATATATTTTTTTTAATAACAATAGCTATTACCAACATAATAATTGCATAGTTGTTATCAACTATGCAAAATTAAATACCTATTTAAAGGTGTAAAAAAAATCATTAGCATTCAAACACGTTACATAGGTACATTTTCCTAAACCTTTGATCAATAAATCGTCTCATAATGTAAATACGTCAATTCCTAATTTTAAGAAATGAAATGACTTGACCAATAATTAAATAAATAACACCATATTTGTGACCAAAACAAAAACAATAAAGTCTTTTATGTGGGTATACATTATATTATCAAGTCTAGTGTATCACTTTATAAATATTAAGCGTTAGGTAAAGGTTTTAGAGGCCCAAGGCTCAAAAGTCCATCCGCACCTAATGCTTGCAGGCTCGAAGTTAAACCGTTTTGCATATTGTGCACAGATATCACCGGTATTCCGAAACAACCATGCGCCTGCTCCCTATTGGCTAAAGGTATAAAACTATATATCCCTAAACTACCTAACCGTTTTAAATTATCTTCTTGTGAAAGATCTACAACTGGCAACCCTAATTCCCTATTAGGTCCGGTTACGTTGTGGAATACCCTTTTGTGGTGTTGGAGTTGCAAGGATTTGGGGTACGACGCGGGACATTCGTCGCACTTGAAAACGGGTATTTTACTTTGAGGATGGGCGTTCGACATGTGCACTTGTAACGAATTGTGATTCATGAACATCTTCTTACATATTTTACAGGAGTACATTCCACCGCCAACTTTGGCTTCAGGTATTGAAAATTTACTTGACTTCGATGTATGTTTAATACTAACACCTGCCCCGAGGTTAGGTATATGCGGTAATGGACGATCTGGGGTAGGAGATCTACTTTTCTGTTTCTGTGTAACACAAATTCCTCTCGATGCAAGAACATTGGCCATTGCATTCGCTTCTTTATTAACTGTCTTTTTCGTCACCGAAATTTGGCTGCCAAAATTTAGTCTGTCTTTAGCACCTTGCACACTTTGAATTAAAGGTAGTCCCTCGCGTTGCTTCTGTAATGACATAACTTGACAGTCCTCATTATCATGTTTACCAGGTAGCAGCATGTCTGGTTTTCTCTTTTGACCAGGGCCACCAGTAGGTACTCCTGGTCTCTTTAAAGGCATCCTCGGTCCCATTTTGCCTCCGCGTACTTGACCGTGGACCTGGATACCAGGCCGTATTGTCGGTCGTTGACCTCTAACTGTAGGCATTCTGGGTCGAACACCTGAAATATGAGCACCAGCTGCCATTCTAATGGGTGTTCCACCGGCAACTTGTCCAGTCATCGTCTGACTTGGTGGTGCCATTTGACCTACGTCAGGTCCGGACGATGATTGGCCAGGCACAGACTGACTTGGCATAATGGGCCCTGGTATTTGGCCAGGCGGGAACGTTTGTATATTTTGAATTTTAATTCCACTGCCCGTTTGGGGTTGTTTTATACCTCCAGGGCTAGAGGCGGGTGCGTATGAATGACTTGGCGACGATCCGGGGGGACCCATAGGTCCAGGTGGATTCATCATGCCAGATTGTCCATAGACTGCCTGTTGCATACTCTGCAGTGGAGAGGCTGTGGAATACGGCGACGATGCCATAGAATACGCATTCGTCTGCATACTTCCTGGATAACTGGGTTTCGACATCGGTGGCGGCTGATATTGTCCATACCCAGGGCTCATATAATTTTGGCCAGGATATTGGTTTGGCATTGGCATTTGTTGCCCTGGCGGACCATACATGTTGTTCGATGTCTGTGGATAGCTTCCGTGAGAGCCTTGGCCCGAATTGTACGCATTGTATTGCGGTGGCACCATTACACCTCCCGCTCCAGGATAGGCCTGGATATTAATCATCACATTTTGTTGGTGAGTAAACCCAGAACCACTATTTCCGATATTCGATAATTTTCCAACTTGTTCTGCTAATTGTTTGACTGGTAATAAACTCGAAAGAATATTGGACGATGAATGATTGTAAGGCATGAGTGAAGACGTGGGCGCCACAATAGCTTTAGAATGACCCGATAGCCGAATATGATCTTCTAGAAGGGACACATCTGTAAACCTTGTGTTACACACATCACATGAATGTTGAGGCCCCAAAGTATCTAACGATATATATTCACTAGCATCCGACATTGACATGTTCTCTTTTTTTGTTGATGAAGACAATAAACTCTCAAATATATCATCAGCGCTTTTATCTAACATATCTATCGATGGCTTACTATCTGGAGCATTCCAATTAAAATTGTGCTGTTTTTCTGTAGATGGCGCTGTTGACAATCGCGACACAGGAGGCGTGTTATAATTTGGTTGCGACGTATTATATGATGGAGTTGTTGGATATGGCGGAGGTAACGGATTTTCTAATTTTGGCACAATTGGCTTTATATCAGGGGCAGGAGTAGTCGAGACAACACAACAATCGTCATCTTCGTCGTTAGAATCACCATTTATTTCAATAACTGTCACGCTGGTGTCTTCAGTTTTTGTTACAGGTAGTAGAGGAGTAGTTGAAGAGTTTGTACTAGAGTTGGATATATAAGTACTTTGATAACTTTTCTGTGCTTGAGTATCAGATACTGTTGAGGTTTCTGGCTCAGATTTGACGCGCGCTAATATAGGTGTTGTTCTCTCTGACAATGGCGGTGAAGATCTTTCTGACTTTATCTGTTCAGAGAACAAGGGCATGTTTTGTGTTTCTCCACTAGGTGTTTCTGCTACTTCTTGTTTTACTACTACATTTTCAACGCGATCATTTGATTTAGGCCTTTCTGGTATACTCTCTGCTTCAGATGGCCTTCTCGATGTTGAAGTTTCATTTTGTTTATCAATTTCTTTAGAGACTGGAGTATTTGACGTTCTTTTAGGAGTTTGTTTGATTACTGGTCTGTTTGTAGGTTTTATTTTCAATGTGTTTTCCGTTTGTATTTTTATTGGTATATTCTTTGCTAGGACATTAGGGGGTTCTTTTTTAGGTGTAATAAGTTTTCCTTGTATACCTTTAGGTAAATTTGGAATTTTCGTTTTATCAGAGTCACTACTATCAGATCTATTTGTATTGCTTCGATTTTGATGGTCATCAGAATCTTGTTCTCCTCCAGAGCCTTCATTCTCACCTGACTTATCAATTTCATCATCTAAATCTTCTTTGTCTTCTTCATTACAGCTGTTCTCTTCTTCATCATCAGAGGCTTTGAAGTCTTTAAGACCATTAATTACTTTAAATGAATTTGTATTATTTCCATCACACTTCAGTTTAAGTTTAATTCCGCCTAGTTTGCCTAATTTTTGCATTACATCACTATTTTTATCAGATTCATTATCCGATTTCTCCTTCTTAATTGGAGTAACATTTTTCTTTATTGTAAATCCTAATCCACTTAATTTATTAAGAGCTGTATCAGAACTATTAACTTCGGTGTCGTTTGATTTCTTTCTTATACAAATACCTTTTTTTAATATTTGTGATATATCTATCTTTTGGGGTGTTTTGGGTGCATTCGGATTTTGTGGCGTTTGAATTTCATCTTCGTCTGACCAATTTTCATCGCCAGAAGCTGGCAGATCTTCTTCGTCGGACGGCAGCTTGTCTAACACAACTGACGGTAAGGAAACGTGTGTAATGATATGATTTTCTAAATCCTCCCAGTCACGAAAGTCTATATCACAAGTGTAACAACGATATTCCTGTTTTTTTACAAGAGCCCCTGAAGATTGAAGTCTTGCCAAAATACTAGCAACATTTGGGTTTATAGGCTTTTGATCTACTTCCTCTTCTTCTTGTTCTTGTTTTATAGCATCATGATCCTCTTCATCTACAAAAAAAAAACAAAATTAATAATGATAAATGACAAAATGTACACTATATTTACGGAAATACGAATTATTTTTATTAATAAATTACGATTAATTTATTGTTATCTTTTTAGGGGCATTTAAATTTTAAATGTGCTACAGTGAAAGTAATTGTATGTAGTGTAGATATGACAATAATTAAGCCATTATAAAATCTATACTAAGTTGTAGTCATGCAACTTATCATAAGCTTATTATTTTGTTTATCAAAGAAGAACAAGAATCTTTTTATTCTATAACTAACATTGCCCGCGGCTCCGCCCGCGTTCAGATGACCAAAAAGCAAATTCTTAGATTTCACATATTAGTATACTCTTACAGTGTGGTAACAGACAGACAGACAAAAATTCTAAAAACTATAGATTTGGCCTCTGTATCGATATTAATGTTGATTTCAATAAGATTTTTCAAATAGTATTCAATGTACAGATTTAGCTTAGTTACAATTTTATTATATGTATAGAAGATATCATATCAAAGAAGAAGACTGTATAAAGCAAAAAATAAAATCAAATGCAGCTATTTAGATAAAAGGCATACAAACTTATAACAAACTTTGCTTTAAGAAGACCACAATTCAGAGTCTATTTAAATAAAATATATAATTGAGTTAAGTCGTTTTAGGTAAGTTTTTCAATTTGACGTACATATTTTTGATTCCCGATGTTTTTCATGATTTACAGCAATAATACTCTATGTTCAATGTTCTTTGTTCTGTGGCTTATAGGCGTACCATTTGGACACAATTTACTTTGCCCAATGTCATGACACCATGACCATGTCCTCTCCATTCTACATGTAGAATGGAGAGGACACAGTAGAGTTTGAGAATTGATGCAATAACTAATACTCAGTCACCGGAGACACTAAGGTCTTTGATATCTTAAAAAAGTTATTTTATAGTTGTTACAAAAGGTGTCTATCTGCCTACATTAATTATAAGAAATAGAAAAGACACTAAAGTACATTACAATTTTAAAAAGTATAAAATTCTTTAAAAATTAGTAATCGATTAGTAAGTATTGCTATTATTTTACAATTTAAAATTATTGAATTTGGGATACTATCAGTCTAATGTTCATATATTTGTGACAGTCATCTAGTGAAAGAATTGACTGGTTTTAATATCACACATTTAAATCCAAACGATATAAAAAGTCCTTATTTTATATTATATTTTAATGATATGTTTGGCTCAGTTTGTGGTACTTGCTGTGCCAGTGGTGGCGGGTTCGAGTCCGGCTGAGGGCATACATTTGTGTGATGAGCATGAATGTTTGTACTCCAGTCATGGATGTTTATATTTATAATATGTATGTATTTAAAAGTTATATATGTGTAGCGTATCAACTATCTGATATCCATAACACAAGTCTCGTAACTTACCATGGAACTACATGTTCTGTGTGTTAATGTACCAACATATTTATTTATTATTATTATTTTAAAATTCATTACTGAACCATCACTAATTTATTAGATTTTAATTTGATTTCAAGTTTTGAATTTTGTATAAAAAATATGTACCGTATATATGGTGTTGTATAGATAACATTAAGTTGGGACCTTAGCAAACAACACCATCTAGTTCCATGGTAAGCTTGTGTTATGAATACTAGATAGTTGATATACTACACATATAACTCTAAAAAATACATATTATAAATATAAACACTATGACTGGAGTACAAACATTTGTGCACACACAAATGAATTCCCTCAGTGGGACTCGAACCCGTAACCATTGGCACAGCACTTGTATGGTCACTACAAACTGAGCCAAATATTTGTTTCATTAGAATACACACTAGTTTTATAATTCATTCAAATTTAAAGAGAATTAAGTAATATGAATATTAATTATTTGAATTTGAATGGATGTTAAGTGAACTACAATGATGAAAATATGGAATAATCTAAATAATAAAAATAAATATAATAATAGAAATTAAAACAAAATTAAAACACACCTGACTCATCATTTTGAGGCGATGATGGGAATTCAGATTCATTCTTTGATGTCATGTTTAACCTGAAAACAAGTTAACTTATTGCTTTATAAAAGTTTTAGAACCGAATTGCCACACCATCCTAATTTAAAAAAATATGAAATATCGAAAAATGCAGTTTTATTTTACTTATGAACATATTTTTTCACAAAAGAATTTTTACTTCTCTCAATGTTAGTAAACAAAAGTTAACTTTTAAAACTAAGGCAAAAAATAAATAGTTATGAATTTATTAAAAATAAATAGTTATATTTTTGAGCTTTTAGAAATAGATATTTTTTTAAAGATTCAATCACAACAATTACATTAATTTAGGGTGTATAAAGTAGTAGATATGTAATAATATAGAAAATCTAAGAAATACAGTAACAACAAAACCAACATAGAATTACTAGACATGCTTTATTTATGTCCAAAAATGTGTATACTTACGTTCATTGTCCAATAAAACGTAATTAAACTTTAATCCATTTATGTCAGTGTATTATAATAAAAATAAAGTCTTTCGTCTTCAATTCACAGTCACAAATCACTTAAGTCTCCTAAGCATTGATATCTAAACAATAATAGAATATTAACTCGCGGCCGGCTTTCATTTGTATCCAAACTTTTACCGGAAAGATAACAAGAAAGAAATTCCAGTTTTTAGCTAAGAGCGCCCGTCTCGGGCTTCGGCTCCGTACAATTCAAAATGGCCGGCCAAATAAACGCTTAGGTATAACACTACACTGTCACACACCAATATACAAATATAATAAAATAAACGTCAAATACACTTTTTATTATTACAATTATTGTAATTAAGTTATGCAAATTACAATTATAATTGAAATAACTCTTTGCTAAATATCAAGGCTAAAGCCGACATTCGATCGACATTCGACACTGCGGCTATCTAAGCTGAGCATAATACAAAATTCTGTTCCGTTCACTCACAGGCAAGCCCGCACAGTATAGACACAGATGCCATTGCCAGAATGGCGGACTGCCAGTATTGGCCGCCTGGCAGATTCCAAGTGCGGCGATTCGCTATCTCTCTCTGACGCTTGCGATTTGTTATATCTATCTCAATCGGCAAGTTCTATACACGACGCCATTTATCCCCCGCGGGCCACAAACGTTTATTATCGGAACGGGTCGTAGTTCGGTCTATTTTGTAATGACCTCGTTCGCTCGACTCAGGTAGGTACTAGGCAGAGCATTGACTGTAAGGAAAACGCCGACTATACTATTTTGAGCGACTGCTTGCTCAGTTTATAATAGTCTTAGCCGTATTGTGTCTCATTTATTATGTATCGCTTATAATCGCACGCTTTGCGATTTATTGATAAATTATTTATGAATCTTTGTGTTGACTTAATAAATGTTAAGTTGACGTTATATCTGTAATAAAAATAAAAAACTTTTTAATTAAACGCATAATCTATATATATATTATTTACAACGTTGTTTTTTTATGACGTCACCAATCACCATTAAAACGAATTGGAGAAATAAATAAAATAATAAATTATAAATAATTTATTTATATAATATTACGGACCGCTAAAAACTTTATGTGCTTCTCAATTCTCAGTCGTTGGTATTGATCGTGGCGAGAACACTGGATGTCCCAAGAGACACTTCCGTAACACTTCTCTCCCGTACGGGTAATATTACTATATCTTAGTGGGTATATATTGGTTGTTGGAATTAATTCCTAGGGTTTTATAAAAGATAGTATGGGTAGTTCTGTATTCCATTGTTACCTATACTAATAAACTCATCGTGAAACAGCTATAATAAAGCGTCATTTATATTTAAAGTGTGAGTTGAGTACATTTTTATTTTTTTCAAATATATAAAGTTTGACTGTGCTATAATAAACACAGAATTTAAGACAGCGAAAATTACTGTTTAAATAATTTGACTTTACATACCTGACCTTACTGATAAACTGTTGACCATCCGTGCATGTTAACAAAAGATAAGAAAGCTTAATGATGCTAATTGCTATGAATGAATCTTTATGCGTTTATTGATGTTGATCTTGGCAGTCGCGGTCTTTGTGTATAGACTTGGTCGCAACATGTGCATAGGAATCTTTTTTGATTTGATTTAAAAATTATTTAAGACTTTCATTCCTATTTTCACCCCCTTAATGGATGGTTTCCGGGATAAATAGTATCCTATGTCCTTCCCAGGGTCTTAAACTATCTTCTTACCAAATTTCATCTAAATTAGTTCAGTATCTACTGTTCTCTGGAGGTCTCCAGAGATTACCCTCTACAACGTCACAAACTCACAAACTGTACCTCTTTATAATATTAGTATAGATTAATTCAAGTGAAGTCCTATGTTTGTCATAAAAAATAACAATAATGGTTTTGTGTTTGTATAATAAACTATATTTGGATAATTACGCATTTTTGACAATTTTTAAACGTACCTAAACATGAGGGCCAAGCCAGGATCGGCAAAGCTAGGGTCATAGCTTTAATCAGGGCCGGATGGTGAAAATGTGTCCGGAAATGTGATGGGGTCACGGAGCAATTAAATAGTGGCTTCTTATATGATTGCAAATTAACTGCCTTTTTTTGTTTGCCAAACAGAAACTAAAAAAATAGGAACAGCTACTGCCCCATTTCTTCTGCCCTAAATTCAGCTCTGACTCTAATATTGTGTCATCCACTTTAAATATAACCTGCACACTTCACATCACCAAATAAGGAATCTGAATTGAATCTGGATCTAAAAGTCATGATCAGTAACAGATTCGACTCAAATTAAGCTAGATGAAACTCCTTGCCTAAGGGCTTAGCCTTTCAGGTCTTTTTTTTGAAACCAAAAACCTTTAATAACTACAGTGGTGCATGTTAAATTCACGTCTTATAAGTCAATATACAATATTCTTAAAAAAAATAACTCTAACACATTCGCGCGGTATTTTTCTAATATTTTTTCCAATTTTGTGGTTTCTTCATGACATTGAATTAAAAAGGCATCTTTTACTAATATCTTCACAATAACAATATTCCCACTCCCCTTCTTTCATCTCCTTCCCTCTAACTCTCCCACGCCACTCCCGCTCCGCTACAACTCTATCGCCGGAATTCTTAGAAATGCCCTACATATTTACAGGAACTTTAAAACCCCTGCTTCCACTGACAGAATTTTATTTATTACGATGGGTCAAACTAAGTAACTAAAAATCCTGTTATTTTCGGATTTGTTCTCAACCTTCATAATAATTATACGATACTAGCATTGCCCGCGGCTCCGCCCGCGTTCAGATGACCAAAAACTAAATTCTTAGGTGTTACATATTAGTATACTCTTACATTGCAGTTTTTGTATTTTTCCTCAGAAATAAGATATTTTCTCGCGGTAAAAAGTATCCTAGGATCGCGCGCTACATCGCCCGGTTTATATAGCTTGAGCAGGCGGTCGAGCGATGCGGGGCAGAGGGGATGGACTCGCCGTAGGCATCTCAATGCTCGCCAAGCATTAAAAATGTTTCGCTACTAATTACTTCTAACAACGATATCTCAAAAACTATTCATCTGATTGATTTAGTGTAAAGAGCAATTTTAATCTGCATTAAATGACTAAGCTTACTAAAATATTCATTTGGATAAGGATTAATACCGAACTAAAGAAAATAACTTTGAAAATAACGTAATGTTTTTAATTAAAAATGTTAACATAAAAGTGGTTATTGTAAGTCAACCGTAAGAGATAGAGATATGCTATCGCGGACTTTTTTGTAGCATTTTTATAGATTTTGAATTCTCTAGTACATTACTTAACTGTATCTTTGCTAGTTTACGCGGCGTTCGCGTGGAAAGTTCCCATTTGGCGAGATTTTTTGCGACCTCTTCAACATTTGTCGCCGTATTTCAGCTAATTTACATAAAAGCATAATAAATTATATACCTAAACCTTCCTCAAGAATTACTCTTTCTATTGTTGAAAACCGTATAAAAATCCGTTCAGTAGTTTTCGAGTTTATCGCGTACAGACAGACAGGAGGACAGACAGGAGGACAGAAAGACGCGGCCGGGGGACTTATTTTTATAATAAGTATAGATATTTAAATGATGAATTGGTCGAGTTTTTTCCGCTTTGGTTCCCTTATTTCTTAGGTTTTATTATTTTTTTATTATTACAAATAACTAGCGACTCACCTTCGCTTCGCTCGGGTTCTTCCCTAGCTTGCTTCCCAATACAAACTTTCACCCCCTTAATGGATGGTTTCCGGGATAAATAGTATCCTATGTCCTTCCCAGGGTCTTAAACTATCTTCTTACCAAATTTCATCTAAATCGGTTCAGTATCTACTGTTCTCTGGACCTCCAGAGATTACCCCCTACAACGTCACAAACTCACAAACTTTACCTCTTTATAATATTAGTATAGATTAATTCAAGTGAAGTCCTATGTTTGTCATAAAAAATAACGATAATGGTTTTGTGTTCGTATAATAAATAAAATTAATTAACCATACAATTTATGTCTGTTGAGTGTGAGTGAATAATTAATAAGCCATTCATATGTGAACAAAATTATATTATAGACAATTCTAATAAAAATATATAAGTCTACACATTTATGATATATCGTTGACGTCGCCTTCGCCAAGGTCACATTTTAATGCTTTTTAAAAGGCAAAGGCAATGTATAATTTATATTTAAAAAATTGGGAAACATTAACATTCGGCTATATTCTACTCTCGAAGTCGTTTAGCCTTGCGCAATAAAGTCAAAATATATATTCCGAACTGGTTACGACCGGTTTATGACATCTGCGTCTCGCTGAGTCATAAGTCATGACCGTCGACCAACTCATGTACGGTCTAACGACTTGACTGTACGAAACATATCTGTCTGTGTGATATAATCTTAACAATATAGTATTTACGGTTTTTCTACGTTTTACGTATAAATGAAACCATTTAATAGATTTTTACGGAATAATTACGTCATTTTCTGAAACCGGATTGACTGTCTGTGATCCCGGACATAAAGTAAATATAA